TAATCCTTCACCATTATAGTGATTCACTCCTGAACTACCAACTATTTCACTCTTTGTCCTAGATCATTTTTCTCTACAGATTTTTGCTTACCAATGGGTTGTTTATTCATGATTATGCTTCTCACCTTCAACAAACTTTGCACATCACTTTTAGTCTCCTTACCCTGCCTCATGTTGACCAAGCTTATTCACTTTTATAATTAATAAGTCATCTGTGGGAGGTACTTTGAAACAGAAAAAGAAGGTCTAGTTGACTAATTTGTCTGAATTTTATATGTAGATTGTGCTATTCAAATTTTATTTTCATCAACTAGTGATTCAACAGGTATACATTAGAAAATATGAGAGTACTTTATGCATTACATTTTCCTTTCTTTTTAAGAAAACCTGCATCTTATTGTCCATAACTTCAAGCTTAGGGAGATTAGTTATACACATAATTACATCATTTCTAAAATAAGAGTAACCATCCTGGCTGAGTAGCTCAGTTGGTCAGAGTGTCATCCCTATTCAACAAAGTTGTGGGTTCAATCACTTCCAGGGTACATATAAGAATCAATCGATATTTCTCTCTCTCTCATCTACCTCTCTATCTCTATCCTACTCCTTCCCTCCCTCCCTTACTCTCTCTCTAAAAATCAATAAATAAATTTTAAAAGTAAAAATAAGCATCACCTCTGTGTGTGTGTGCTCCAGAACATTCTCACTGGCACTAATTTTTTGAGTGATCACATGGATAACTTCCTCTGTCTACCAACCTAAGACTGTCAGGCCCACTTCAGCCTCTTTGCCACTCCCTAGACTGGACAGCTAATAGACCTTAAACCCACATTCACCTACCTTAGTTCTTGAGCTAATTATGACCTTCCCAAGGGTATATTATCATCTTCAATCCCTCCATCTAATGTTGACAACTAGGTCACTTGCTAATTCATCTTCTGATCACATAGGAAATGGGGGGTTCTTTGCATAACTGTATATCTCATCTGTTCACCCATTTCATGTTAAGTTGAAATGTGGCCCACCTTTGCTTATCTGGACCCCCCTTATGTAAAGCTATAAAAAAGACAATTTTAACAAATACATGGAAATACGAGTCTCCCATGGAAAATAATTTCTTAAGTATGGGCTGCACACAGTGATTTTTTCCAAAAGCATACAGTATAGAAAGGGGAGTAAAGAGGAACTTTACAGTGAAGAAATGCGACAAACATTATCTCTGTCAGGAAATCAAGGTCAACATCAACAGTGATAGGTCATATTGATAGTATGTGCCTTTGATATAATGTAGGAACACTGAACTTCTTTGGTCTTTCTCTCAAAAACCCATAACCCTAGTCTAATTATGAGCAAAACGTTTGACAAATCCCAGTAAAGGAACATTCTGCAAAATGGCTGACAAGTACTCAAAACTTCCCAGGACATCAAAATCAAGACAAGTCTGAAAAATTCTCACATTCAGTAGGATTAAATGCAATGTGTTGTCCTGGATGGGGTCCTGGAACAGAAAAAGGACATTAAATAAAAATTAAGGAAATATGAATAAAATATGGATTTTAGCTAATAGTAATGTATCAATATTGGTTCATTTATTATAACAGATAACCATATTGTAATGTTTAATAGGGGCAAGTAGATATATGAAAACTGTTATCTTCGATATTTCTATAAATATCGAGTTTAAAAAGTTTATTTTACAAAGAACAATATGAGAAAAACTAGTTTTTTGAGCCTTTGCTTTGTGTCAGGCATTGTGCTATAAAGCTTGATTTATGTTAGTTCACTGAAGACTAAGGATGATCTTATGAAAGGAGTAGTTACCCTCATTTTATAGGTGAGGAAATAGAAACATAGGTTAAGTGGATTTCCTAAGGCCAAAATCTAGGAAATTTGGGATGGAGGAATTCCAATTCAAACTGTCTAACTCTAGACCCTATGCTCCTTTTTGTCATTTTTATATACTTGTTAACAGACATCGAGCAAAAGAAGAATGTTTAATAGTTTTCCAGAACTAGTGGTCATCAGACAAATAAGCCTTTGAGGAAGAAGAAAGAGGGAATTTGTGCTTACCAGCAGACAAAATAAATGCACATCTAAACTAGACTGAACAATTTAGGTCTGAAAAGCAGAAGAATTTAAGGAATCCTGAATCTCATTGAAGAAAAAGAAATGCTTATATCCAGAACTTTGACTCTTGAAACTTATCCAGACAGGATGAAATTGGTCAAGCATTTGAAATGTGTTGAATAATAACATATACTTTTTTAACACATAGGCTTTCTTTAAGATATAATAACTGTCCAAAAATTATAAGAACTGTGGAGGGAAAATCTATAACACCTGAACATCACTGCGCATTTACTCCATCACCCTAGTTTTTCTTGAGGACAAGATATTTCTCTGAACCCAAACTATAGCCCATTGAGTTAGTGCCCTATTAGGAAGCTTAATTATATTACTCCTTTTTTCTGGAGTCTAGGGGATGGGCAGCAGAGAGCAATGGATTTCATGACCAATACTCCCAGTACCATTCAATTAAGTTTCCACATATGTCTACCTAAGTACAATCTACACCAAGCAGTACCTCAATTGTGATACCTTCCTTTATCTCTAGGATGTTGGGCCTACCTAGGCTTGCAGTGACTTTAACACTCAGTAATGTTATCTTTAAAATTAGACAATGGCCTGGCTTTTGTGGCTCTGTTGTTGAGTGTCAACCTATGAACAGGAGGTCATGGTTCGATTCCTAAGTTGTGGGCTCAGTACCAGTTTTTCCCCAGCACCCGGGACCCAGGCCTTGGTCCAGCCGCAGCAGTGAGGCTTGGCTTCTCTAAGTTGTGGGCTCAGTCACCAGTGGGGGTGTGCAGAAGTCAGCTAATCAGTGATTCTCTCTCATCATTGATGTTTCTGTCTCTCCTATCCCTTCCTCTCTGAAATCAATACAAATATATTTTAAAATTAAAAATAAAATGAGACGCCTTCATTCTTCACTCTGTGCCTGTGTAACTGCCATCTTTGTTGGGTTAATTTGCATATTCACCTGATTGGCTGGTGGGCATAGCGGAGTGACACCAATTTGCATGTTTCTCTTTTATTAGTGTAGATATATTACAGATTGATATTAGGATTAAATGAGATAGCGTATCTTTATTTTTAAATTTTCATACAATCTCTGTGATCTGATCAGTCTGGTAGTTGAGCATTTGATTGACAAAGTTGATTAAAGCATGAAATCATACCTTATACATTGAATATTTTACTTCAAGACATATTAATATACTTTTACTCACCAAACATTTGGTATAAGAACAAAGCCATTTGTTTTGCTTTGTGAAACAGGTTTGCATATAGTTTCACTATTTGAAATTTTTCCTGAAAATTTTGCATCAAACATATTTATAATGTATAATCTATAACGTCCAGCTTTGTTTCACATTAAGTGAAGCAACAGACTTCCATATTTTAAAGAGTAAGGTGAGATTCTCACTTTTTTTCTTCAGACTCCACAAAAGCAACAGATAGAGAAACAGAAACACAAATTTCTTTGACAATATCAGACAGCATGTTAAATCTCAAACCCTGGGTTTTGTGAAGTGCAATGAAGGTAAAGAGGGAAGCATAAGGGTGCCAAGAGAACATGTCTAGGGTTACAGATCAACAACAAAACCAACATAGTACAGTTCTCTGAAGTAGCATATCCTGAGCAGCAAAATCAACAATTCCTGGTTTAGGTGGTGCTTCCAGTCTGGCATAAATGAGAAACAGAATATTGGAGAACCCAAGAATAACACTGAAACACCATTTTTGTAGGAAGCAGTGTGCTGGTGAGGCAGGAGCAAACAAAGATTGTGTGTTGTCTCATAACTGCTGGTCTCAGATGGCCAGAGCAAAGTAAACGCTGAAAACTAACTTACATACACAGTTTTGGGAGATGAGAATTTTTTCTGGCTTGAAGTGCAGGCCTGGATCCAATCCAATATACTCTAGTGCAGAAACTTGGTTCAGGGGTATGCATTTGAGTCAAAGATGGGCAAAGTTTTAAAAGGATCTTTATTGGAAAGCTACACTAAAAATTGGATGAGACAAAGCCTCACTTTTTTCACTGTTATACTTTTGTATTTTTTAAATTCAAAAGAAATTTAGTACAATAAGAAAAGGAATAGAGGCTTTGCAAAAATACAAATTTATTTATACATTTGCAAAGAAATGAGTACAGATTTTTTCACTCTTTTTGTCCATTCTTTCATTTGTTTTGACCACAACAGTTTCCTCTGGTGAGTCTCTTTTATCATGCCTTTCACAGAGGCACTCAACTTATAGAAACAACTTTTTGCATTCATATTTCATTGATTACATAATATTTATATTATTTTATTACAATAATATAACTAGCATAGGTATAGAAACAAATATAGTTGACTCAGTAAACATAAAGCTCACCTGGTGAAAACTGAAACATGTGGGTGATCTAGAAAGTGACCTGCTAACCACAAGGGTTCACTGGACTATGGGTATCATATGTTTCAGAGAAAGAAAAATCAAAAAATAATGCTTGTTCATAGATTAATTTAGTTGATGTTAGAGGAAATAACAAATATGAATTTATGTCATTATTGTGTTTCTATTTTGCATTATTTTCTCTAGAATGTGTAGTTTTAGACAGTGTTTTAAATAAATTTTATTCAAAAATATTTATTGAGCTCCTACTATGTGCCCCTAGCATAAAAACAAGTCAGAGTAAATATTTCATCACTACTGGTTGAAATTAAACAATATTAATATGATGTTATTGGTAATTTTATTCGTGATATGCTAAATAACCTATATTGATACAGCAGAGTTAAGTAAAAAGAAATTAGATTTATATTGACTTGCTTCATGAATATCCTCAGAGCTCTTCAGACACCTTTACATTTGTTGTTTATTTTACTTTTGGGTGTGTTTGATAAGAAAAAAATGTTAATTATTGTTAAATGTATTGTTGTTGTTTTATCTTGAAGCTGCCAGAAAAAATGATAATGGACTACTATGAGAAGTATAAGCCTAGAATGAATGAGCTGGAAGCTTTTAATATGGTAAATCTCCGAATTAAACGTATTAAATTGGATTTGTGGCTAGACTTGAATAGGATCCTATTAAATTTTATTATGGGGCCAACCAATCTATGTTGTTTTTCTCTTATTATAGAAAAACCATTTGGGATCACTTCCTATTTGAGAACTATATTAGGTGTCAGTAATGTAATAAAGAGAACACATGGTAGATTTCTCTTAAAGTGTATTATAAATGTACAGAAAGAAGTTTCCGAGTTCTTTGAACACATATTGCTCTCAATTCTGTTATTTCACAAGCATTCCTTTTAGTGAATTTCATTCTTAGTGCCCATTTAAAAGCTTTCCATCACATATGTATGATGGCTTTTGGATTCTACCTCAAAGTTACTTAAAGGACATTCTTTTTCTATTATTAAAGAAAACTTTTGATCTCTGCAGTATTCATTTTCTGTACATGTACAATGGGTATTGAAGATCTGGCCATATACAAACTTCTATAGATACATTTTTTTAAACATAATATTAAGTTAGCGGCTAGTCATTTTTTTTTTTCCTTTTAAGTAACACCATCCAACTTGTTCTTTCCTTTAGTTGAAAGTTGTTCTGGCTCCTTGTATAGAGACATTGATTCTTCTGGATCGACTTTGCTACCTGAAAGAGCAGGTAAGTTGTGTTATTTTTAAATGCATAATAAATATATTTATTAAATCCAGTAATTTGGATCCACTTATATGTAGGATAAATTTCTTTAACATAAAACTTAAGATTAAAACATAAGATAATCTTTCTCATCATATTTTCAAAGTTTAAATATTCACTCCATCTTTTTAAAACATAAACATGTGCATAACAGATGTTTTCAGCAATGCTACCATAATAAAGCTTACGTTCTTTTAATTGTATGGTAATTACTATACAGTAGGCAGTGAGCACAAATTATCATACATGCCATATTGTACAGCTAACAGTAATAAAGACCAGACATATAAGATATCATATACATGTTACATTTTGTAAGAATTTGCCTTTTATTTCCCTTTTGACTTTTGGGGCATATACACTCTGCACTCAGAAACTTCTTTCTGATCAATGAAGACTGCGTCTGTTTTTTGTGGTGTTTTTTCCAATCTTATTTATCTATGTTGAATAACTAAAAATATTGTCCTTTTGGCTATCTTAGGGAAAATGTTTTTTGCAGATTTTACTCAGCTTTGATCAAAATAAAGTTTTGTGAACTGCTTAAATTAAACCCATTTGTGGACTCAGGCTGTGTTTCCACTATATAAACCCTTTATTTTAACAATTCTGTTTTATCATATGGGGAGCTTTGCTTTCTTCTTTTCAACAGGCTACTTAGGACAAATGGATTTTAATAAATGTTTGCTTTTGTTCTAATTTGTATTTATATGGAGAAAGGCAGTTTTTGAGTATTTAGAAAATGATGTGTTTTCCTAAGCTACTAACTCAAAAAGTACTCAAACTTTGAATCAGTCCTACTTTACTCATCATTTCCCTTTTCAAAACAATTTTTATTGACTTAAGTATAATAGGCAATAAAAATGGTATGCACAAAGATTAATAGACTGATAATGAGATAATAGAAATCATATAAATATTAATTTGTTAATATTTTTAATAATACCTTATAAAATTAATGCATATTTGTTTGGGAATTTAAAATGAACAATATAAAAAAGAAAATTAAAAGTAACAATAATGCAACCTTTAAGCACTAACTATTAAATTTTTGGTTTGTTTTTTAGTGCTTCTCTCTAATATATATATATATTGGAATATATATGTGCACATAGTTTATACATAGTTTATACTTTATTTAAAATTGAAATCAAATTATAAATGCTATTTATATCTAATTTGTTTCATTTATTTAATTTAAAAATGTTCCATCTCATTAAATTTACTACAGAAGCTGAATAATGTTTCATCATATAATAATTTAAGTAATACCCAATTGTTATTGGCAAGTTTCAGTTTTTCACAATCACAGCAAAGAGTAACCTTGTAGTTCACTCTCTATGTTCATCTTTAATTGTTTTCTCAGCGTAAATTCCTGAAAGTAAAATTGTGAATGTTGCCGAAACTGGTTTGGCTCAGTGGATAGAGCGTCGGCCTGCGGACTGAAAGGTCCCGGGTTCGATTCCCGTCAAGGGCATGTACCTGGGTTGCGGGCACTTCCCCAGTGGGGGATGTGCAGGAGGCAGCTGATCGATATTTCTCTCTCATCGATGTTTCTAACTCTCTATCTCTCTTCCTCTCTGTAAAAAATCAATAAAATATATTTTAAAAAAATTGTGAATGTTAACTTTATTGAACAAAGAATCATTTTATTTTATATGGTTCGTTTTTACATAATTTTTAATATTACATTATATAGCCTAACCGATCTCTCGTTTTTACCTTCAATAAATGGTTTTATTTCTAAATCACTTATCAATTTGCAGGAAGATACTGCATGGTCAGCACTTGTGAAGTTGTTTGATCCTGTGAAATCTCCCAGATGTTATGCTGTTATTGCTCTGAAGCAGCAGCAATGATGTCAATAGAAGCAAGGTATTAGATGTATCTGTTTGTGGAACCTATTCCTAATTTTTCTTTTCTAAACATTTATGTCATGTCATGTAAATATTTTTTAAGACATTGCTTTCCTTGTATTTGAAATTAACAATAAAATAATAGCTAACAACAGAACACCATAATTCATTTTCTCATTGTCAAAGCATACATTTAATAAAAATAACACATGAAAATATTATAAAAGAATTGATCTACGTTCCTGATTTAGCACATCAATAGGACATTGTATTTTGAGCTTTGTTTTCTTTTTTGTTGTTTTTTAATCCTCACCCAAGGACATTTTCATTGAATTTAGAGAGAGAGAAAGAGAGAGAGGGAGAAACATCAATGTGAGAGAAAAACATCAATTGGTTGCCTCCCATACTCACCCTGACTAGGGATCAAACCCGCAATCTAGGTGTGTGCCCTGGCCTGGGATCAAACCCACAAGCATTTTGGTGTATGGGATGACGCTCCAACCAAGTTATGTGACCTGGCTGAGCCTTGTTTTCTGTTCAATATTTGAGACCCTTGATATTTACTGTATATCATATTTTGCCTTTAATTTCTCTTTAAAAAGAGGAAAGGTATAGGTGTAGGTATAGTAAAATTAGTTGTACTGAAGATTATTTGCCTTTTTCCTTCACCTTTTGGAAAGATTTTTCATGTTATCAGAAGGTAAAAATCCACATTTAAAGGAAAGAAATGCCCAGAAACCAGGCCGGACATAGAAAGTGCCTGATATAAATTATATATATATTTGTATTTTAATCTAAGTTACATGATGGAATATTCTATGCCCTTAAAGGAATATGCATCTTATAGTGAGATATTTATTTTTAAGGATTCTTAAGGTTGTTTATCTTAAAATAAAGGGATGGGTTGGCACTTAATGAAATTACTTTGTGCTCTGTAAAAAGCCACTTAGCAAAGCAAGAGTGAGCGAGAAGGCCAGCCAGCACTGTGCCCAGTGTGGTACATGTTTTTTTTATTATCAGAAAACTGGAGGTTTCTAAACACTCAGAAGAGGTGAACAGCTAGAGAGAGTCTTCCTGTCGCTTAGCTAGAGGCTGTATAAAATCCTCCTAACCAGAGAAATAACTGCTTTCTTAAATGTTGGAGTCTATCCACAGGTGAGAAGAATGTTTTGCTTTGAATTTCAATATCAGTGAAACTACATAGAGCTTCCCTATGTTTTAAAATATTTTTGCAATTTTTAATTAATGTTTTTTAATTTTTATTAATCAGAGGCACATGTATGATTCAGGCATCTAATCAACATGAAATGGCCTATATGATCACACTGAGATAATAACATAGCAAAAAGCAAAGAAATATAATACTTTGGTGGGATTGTAATGTGTGTAGATTTTCATCTCATTAAAACTGCTCTTTGAGAACTCATTTTCAGTTAAGCCAGAGAATGTGGTGCATTGGTGGGAGCATCAGTTCTGACAGTTCCTTTCTGGGTGAGCCAATATCTCAGAACCTCTGTTGTAAAGTGGAGTTTCATATAAAATTTATTTTATGAATGCCTACCATATATCAGAGATTATGGTATGCCCCTGTCCTCAAAGAGACCCCAGTGCCATGAGGAAGAAAGACAATAATATTACTAATTACAGTAGTTAAAGGTTTAGGGGAGAGTCAGAGAACAGAATTCTTCAGGGATCCTTCAAATTGATTGACTTAGGGCAGTGGTTCTCAACCTTCCTAATGCCGCGACCCTTTAATACAGTTCCTCATGTGGTGGTGACCCTCAACCATAAAATTATTTTTGTTGCTACTTCATAACTGTAATTTTGCTACTGTTATGAATCGTAATGTAAATATCTGATATGCAGGATGTATTTTCATTGTTACAAATTGAACATAATTAAAGCATAGTGATTAATCACAAAAACAATATGTAATTATATATGTGTTTTCCGATGATCTTAGGCGACCCCTATGAAAGGGTCGTTAGACCCCCAAAGGGGTCGCAACCCACAAGTTGGCGACCCACAGGTTGAGAACCGCTGACTTAGGGGAAGAACGGTGCAGTAATATTAGTACCATGGTTTAGATTCATGTGAATTAAATTGTTTTGTGGACTTGGGTCAGTCACTTTATTCAGTGTACCTCAGTTTTCTCATCTCTAAAAGGCACATAATAATAAAACCTATATTAAAAAGGGTGTTATGAGGATTAAAAGAATTAAAAATATGTTATTAAACTCCCTTAAAATATTGTTAGATAACTGGTTAATGATGCACAACTATAGTTTATTAGAACTTTCTGCAATAATGGAGGACACTGTCCTGACAATTTTTTAAAAATATATTTTTATTGAACTCAGAGAGGAAGGGAGAGGGAAAGAAACATCAATGATGAGAGAAAATTGAGAGAGAATCACTGATCAGCTGCCTCCTGCACGTCCCCTACTGGGGACACAACCCAGGCATGTGCCTTTGACCAGAATCGAACCTGGGACCCTTCAGTCCCCAGGCTGACGCTCTATCCACTGTGCTAAACCAGCTAGGGCTGCCGTGACAATTTTGACAGTTTCTGAAGGGACAAGTCTGAGGAGGGTATTCATAGAACTTGGGAGTCTGGGCTCAAGTGGTTTAGGTGGAGAACAGACTGGGATTTGGAAAAGTTCATGACACAATAGTTTTATGATTAGTATCTATAGCAAGGCGAGAGTCTGAAGCAAGTCTTGATAAGCAAACTGTTGCTTAGTAAGGGAACTCTTTGCCAAGGTGAGCAGATTGTTTGTCTGAGATAAATGAATATATGGGAATTTCCTGAAACAAATAATGAAGTTATTTAGTAGTTTACAGCTTTATCTTTTTGGGGCAAAGATTTCCTGTAACAAACAAATGAATCATGTTGACACATGTGGTCTCAGTTCTTAGACCCCATTGCTCTCTTCTATTGATGCAGGTACTTACAGTTCTCAATGTAAAAGCACTTAATTTCAGACACTGTGCATAATATAAAAGCAATAGCTGTATATGTTAAATGCCCTAGAGAGATAGAAATGGAAAATTAACCATATTTATAACATTGACACTGTAGGAAAAAAATATGTTCTAAATCAAACAATGTGGACTTGATTGTTGGGTGAAAAGCATTGACTTACATATAATATTACTTGCTGAAATAATCTGTTAAGATTGATGTTTATTCCTAGGGTAATTTCTAACTTAGCATATACTCCACATCTATAAGTATAAACGCAGAGACTTGTACAAAAGGCTTTTCCACTCTACTTGCATTCAAAAATGGTTCTTTGATTTGTGGGTTTAGCCACTATACATAATTATTATTATCCATATTTATTATTATTACCCCCTTTCAACATACATAGTTATTCTAGAGTCTTTGTCATAAGGTATGAAGTTCAATCCTTTCCATATGGCTATGAGCTAAATTGATTATTTTTTGTTTTGTTTTGTTTTTCCCCTAGGTTTCTGCTGCTCTTCTACATTCCTTTTTTTAAAAAACATATTTTTTTTTTATTGAGTTTTTACAGAGAGGAAAGGAGAGAGATAGAGAGTTAGAAACATCGATGAGAGAGAAACATCAACCAGCTGCCTCCTGCACATCCCCCACTGGGGATGTGCCCACAACCAAGGCACATGCCCTTGACCGGAATCGAACCCGGGACCTCTCAGTCCACAGGCCGACACTCTATCCACTGAGCCAAACCGGTTTCGGCTGCTCTTCTACATTCTTTAAAGTTTTTTTTTTTTCAAAACACATCTAAATATTTTGTTTAAATCTCAACTTTACTTCATTGTTCTAAAGTCATTTAAAAACACTGTTACCATTAATTCTTTATAAATGTATATAATCCAGAGACATACTGTAAAAATATGTGTAGTTGGAAAGCTTCTGATCTTTACTATTGATGATCCTGACTTAATTAATATCCAGGAGGTCTACAATTGATAGGAATTATCAAGAAACACAGATGAGGCTCCTGAAATATGTCTGAGTACTCCACAGAAGGAATTTGTAACCATGGTGGATTGCATCTTCCAACAATTATCAGGCACATTTCTAAACCCAGCACCCAACACCATGCCTACAGCTTAAAATGTTCATGGTGAGTATTTCTTAATGAATGTATCAGTTCTACCTTAAATCACTCACCAAAATGCCCTTTAGAATAGTATGTGATACATTTCTATCTTTATATACTATAAAGCTTTGATTTTTGCTTAGGTACTATCCTAAGCACTTTACTTGTATTAACTCATTTAATACCCAGAACAACTCATGAAGTACGTATATTATTTCCATTGTCCCATTGTATAGATTAGGAAATTGGCAGAAGTAAACATTAATCTTCCCTCATTCTTGGCCTCACATTATTTCTGCAAACAATTTTGCAAATACAGTGTCTGGCACACTAGAAAAAAAAAATGACCTGGCATTTAGTGAAGCTGAAAAACAAGTTCCTGTCATAGATAAGCATGGTACTCAGAACCTCTTACAGCAACATCAGAATTACAACTAGATTACAAACAACCATCATTCAGGACACCTGAAATCTAGCTGAACATAAGTCCTGTAAATAAGGGTATTAAGAAGAAGCCACATCCAGACTGATAGGAGGGGAGGAGATGCAGAGCAGCTGGTCCCACACCCACATGTGGCAGTTAAAAATTGGGAGGGATAGCCCCTACCAGGTAGCTTGGTTGGAGCATCATCCCATACACCAAAAAAAAAAAAAGAGGTTGCAAGTTAAATTCCCAGTCAGGAGGCATTGGGAGGCAATTTAAAAACACTGTTACCATTAATTCTTTATAAATGTATATAATCCAGAGACATACTGTAAAAATATGTGTAGTTGGAAAGCTTCTGATCTTTACTATTGATGATCCTGACTTAATTAATATCCAGGAGGTCTACAATTGATAGGAATTATCAAGAAACACAGATGAGGCTCCTGAAATATGTCTGAGTACTCCACAGAAGGAGTGATGTTTCACTCTCACATCAATGTTTCTCTTTCTCTCCCCCTTCTTCTCTCTCTGAAATCAATAAAAACATATCCTCTTGTGAGACTAAAAAAAAAATTGCAGCAGGTCC